GGAAGGAAGGAAGGAAGGAAGGAAGGAAGGAAGGAAGGAAGGAAGGAAGGAAGGAAGGAAGGAAGATAAAGGGTGATTAGTATTAACACAGCCAAACTGCAGTACAAAAAAAGTAAAAAGGAAATAATAGAAATGATGAATGAGACAGAAGAGTTGATCCTGTTCTTGTTAATGGCCAATTCACACATGCAATTGGGTAGTGGATCTTTAATTATAGCTGTCATATAATTGCACAGTGAAATACAGATGATAAAGTTTGAATTAAAGTACACATTCAGTCACTTGAAAGGCTTCTTGGTATTTGGTGGTTACTTTCCCATAGAATATTTAAAAGTAAAAAGCATTAAAAAAATAAAACAACCACCCCAGCATTCTGCAAAACATAGAAAAATATCTTAACTAGCTCACCAGCTGCGAGGTAGGGATAACTTTCTGTTTCCTGGGTCATATTCATAACAATGACCTAGGGGTCAAAGTCACAACCTATTGTAATTCCCTGGAGCCATCTTCTCTCTAGCCAGCAGTGTATCTTTACCCTTTCTTTGAACAGTTGCTTAGGCAATTGTGGGGAGATATGCATTTTGGAGCAATCACTTCATTGACCAAAGCCTTTCTGTTTCTTTAATAAAAATCATTCTTTAAAATTTTTAAAAACAAACAGACAAACAAATAAAGCCATAAATAGCCTGATAAACCCTTTAACGTGAACCATGATGAAGTGAAATTTTGCTGACTGCTTTGAGAATTGCCTCTGCAGAATTAATGCAGGAGACAATTGGTTTTGATTATGAAGCCAGAGCCAGCCCTGCTGATCTTAATGGGAATACCTCAAGGGTGCTTCCTGCTATTGTTAAAAGAAAGAGGCAAAATAAATTGAGAATACATTATAATTCAATATGGATGAATATGTAAGTATGAATGCGAAGGAGATTAAACAGCACTGAGGACCAGTATGAAATTCCAGGGGGGAATCCTTAACATCAACAGCCTCCCAATCAACCATATCCATAGGCAATCTCTTATTTAAATGTGTTGACCCTCTTGGAACAGAAACTCTGACTTTGGCCATAGGTAACAATAAATATTAAAACCTTTATTATCAATGTTTGATAGAGGCATGAAAAATTTATCTTTGTCTACAAATTACATTTTTTTCCTTCAGTTATACTACAGGAGTTTTTACATGATGTATTTATATTGAGTGGACTAATTATGATTATGATTATTACTATGGCTACTTCTACTATTATAGAGGGAGAGCAAAAGAAATTATACTATTTTCATACATGACCTTCTACCACCATTACCCACGTTCAGTGAGAACACATCACTTCAGTTAAATAGTTCAGTCAACGCCAAGATCTCTAAGAACAGACTATATACATTTCGTTTCCTTTTTAATTTTCATTCACATTTATTCCCCATTTATCTTTGGATGCATGTAGCGTTTAAGAAGTTGCACCTAATTTTCCTAATAAGAGCAATAATCAGTAAAATTGGCCTACAAATCTCTAGCATGAAAGCGTGGCCATTAAGGAACCCAAACAAGAGGAAACCTCAATAAATTTAAATGTTAAGATATTGCATTTTTATTTTAAGACATGGCAACCCAGTTTTCCACAATTTAGTGTCTTCCAGATGCTGAATTTTAACATGCAAGAATTGCCAGACATTGTCTATATTGATCCATAAATTCTGGGAATTGCAGTTTGAACACATCTGAAGGTATGAAGCTCTGAGTCTATAATGTCTTAAAGAAATAAGTAACTTGTATTTCTTCAAATGCTCTTGAACCATAATTCCCCAAAACACCAGCCAATAGTAGAAAACAGCAGTTCAACAACATCCGAAAGGGAACAGAATAATCATACTGTTGTTATACATGCTCTTTCATCCACATAGAATTCTAAATGATCTTCATAATGGTTTATAAGAGTTAAGATTGCCAATATTTTATACACATGAGATCTTTTCTTGGATGGAAGCTTCTGCTGAGATGAAATATTATTTCACTTCAAAAAGAGCAACATTTCTTTAAGGATTCAAAGACAAAATGACCTTATGTCTCAAGGTAGCTTTTCTTTGGATAAAGTATCTTAGTTGATATGGTATCGACAAGGAATGCAAAAGTCTCTAACATTGTAACTAATTTTTTTTAAATGCCAAAACTCCCCCAAATGGCTAGACAACAGAGTGTGATTTTGCAAGATATATGGAATAGTTGAATGACGGCTAAGAAGTGGGAGGAAGAAAGGAGGGAAGAGAGAAAAAAAATGGAACAGACTGTGATAATGACATGAAGAGACAATGAGCTACAACAGAAGTGATAAGGAACAAGAGAACTTGAAGCCACCACCTGTACAGCTTGCTCATTCTGGAACTGGAAGTCAGAACTAAACCTATGTGTGTGTGTGTTTTTTTAAATAAACTTTATTAATTTTACAATTAAAATAGACAAACAACAGGAAACAAAGAAAGAAAAGTAGAAAGAAAAATCAGAAAACAATTAAAAACAGTTTCATCCTCAACAGTTTGTGGGCCTTATTTTCAACCTTATTTTATGCTCTCTGTATAATTAATCCTTGTTTGATATATATATATATATATATTCGTCAGACGAACACAATACAGAAGCCTGATGATGGCAGATGAGATTCTGCCGAAACGTTGCTACAACTTTAAAAGCACAACTATAATGACATGGGAAAATCCCAAACAAAGCTGAATACCATACATGTAAGTACCCGCGAAAACTTAAGAAAACACACACACACACACACACACACACACACACTCACTCACTCACACACACACACACACACACACACAATTTTCACTACTACAATTATAACATATCTTCTTTTGTCCTTTATTGTTTAATTGATCTTTAATCTATCCATTCGTACCAGCAGTTCCAGCTGTCATAATACATTGATGTGTCTTTTCCTTTTAATGCCAAAGTTAATTTGTCCATCTCTGCACAACTTGATATTTTTTGAATAATCATTTCCTCTGATGGAATACGAGGTTGTTTCCAACATTGTGCAAAGGCCAGTCTGGCCGCTATCAAAATATGTACTATTGTATACTTCACTTTTGGGGGGAATTGTTTATTAAATATCCCTAATAGAAAGAGTTCTGGTTTGAATTAGATCTGTTCTATTGTCATTTCCTCCAATCATTTTCTAATTTTCTGCCAATATTTTTGAGCCTCTGTACAAGACCACCACATATGGAAGAATGTTCCCTCCTTTTTTTTTTTGCATTTCCAACAAATGGAATTAGCATCTTTGCTAATCTCGAGGGGGGAAGGTGCCATGTGTAAAACAGTTCTATTCAGATAGTTCCTATTTATCCACTGACCCCCCAAATGTGCCAAGCTATCAGTTCCATCAATTACTATGTTTTCTGGGAATGATGGGAGTTGTGATCTAATAGTTAGCTAGACACCAGTTTGTTGGAATGGCAAATACAATAGCACTTAGACTTATGTACTGCTTCACAGTGCTTTATAGCCCTCTCTAAGTGGTTTTACAGAGTCAGCCTATTGCCCCCAATAATCTGGGCCCTCATTTTACCAACCTCGAAAGGATGGAGGGCTGAGTCAGCCTTGAGCCAGTGAGACCCAAACTGCCAAACTGCAGGCAGCCAGTGATCAGCAGAAGTATCCTGCAGGATTGCATTCTAGCCACTGAGCCACCACAGCTCAATGCTCTGCTTGATAGCTGGCAACCAGTGCTATGTAGCACAATGGGATGGAGGTGAGCCAGTTTGTGTGTAAGTCCTTCTCAGGTCCACACCATCAGCAACATCACCATGCCTGAATTAATCTTCCTGTGCGATATCTTCTAGTTTTAGCAAAAGATCAAACAAACACAATTCTGATAAAGTGGTGACCTCATTAATAATATGCTGGATATATAACTATTTACACTTTAAACATTATTATTTGCTGTGACACCCCTAAACACTAGGAATAAAGCCAAGTTGCTAAGCAGACAAACAGTGTGAGTTATGAGGTGGGCAATTCCAGTTCCAATCTCATATTGTCCAAATTCACCGATAGAACAGACATATCTAAAGAAAGGGTATAGGTTTTTTTTTTTTAGCAATAGTCGAATGAAGACACCTGACCTGTGACATTGCAAAGTTCAAACCAAATATAATATGAAGTCATGGAATTCCCCTATCCTAACAATCACAGGAAATGTCTGTTGGGAATGTAGATCCACAAAGATCACAGAAGAGGGTGTTAATTGTCTTTGCACTCTCAAGTCCATAATTCTTTTATTTCAGATGTCCAGGTGCATACCCTCTTTCTTAAATACAAGTAGTCCTCAACTTAACACCATTTGTTTAGTGATTTTTTGAAATTACAACAGCACTGAAAAACTCAGGAACATTTTTCACACTTACAACCATTGTAGCATCCCCATTGTCACTGATCAAAATTTGAATGCTTGGTAATTGGCTTGTCCCTTTTTCAAGAGGCAACTGGGCTTTCTGGTTTTTCTTTGAAGACGTTTTGCTTCTCATCCGAGAAGGTTCTTCAGCTTTTCTTTGAAGACGTTCGCTTCTATCTGAGAAGCTTCCTTCTTTGAAGAAATGTCTTCAAAGAAAAACCAGAAAGTCCAGTTGCCTCTTGAAAAGCACCTTTGGGACAACCATGACCTGGATGACTGAGAATCTCCATAGACATTTGGTAACTGGCTTGTATTTATGATGATTGCAGTGTCTTGAGGCCTTTTGACGATCATCTGACAAGCAAAATCAATGAGGAAGTGAGATTCACTTAACAACATGTTACTAAGTTAACAATTGCAGTGATTGACTTAACCACTGTGACAAGAAAGGTCATAAAATGGGCAGCTGCTATCCTTACAGGATACCATATAAGTAAAGACTAGGAAATACCACTGTTGCATTTACTACAATATCCAAATTTGTGAGGAAGGTTATAGCATGGCTAGGGAATGTTATCAAACCACACTAATATACTGACTGACATACTTAGAAGTACTGGTATAAAGCAGGACATTACATCAAAAAAATTCTGCATAAACCAGTGTGAAAGGAGAAAAATTCTCAATCCCAGGCACAATAAACCAAAAGGACATTTTTTTCCAAAGTGATCAGGGTCCGCGTTTTCTCCAATTAACCAAGGTCACCACTGCCTGTTTTACTTCTGAGCTAAAAACACAACATGCAATGCAGTTGGCATGTTATGTCTATCAATGGAATCGCATTACTGCTCATGAAAACCACATCCATTTTTCAAAATGTTAAACCATAGTCATCTTTTCAGTGTACTATTTATGTGTGTCATGGAAGGCATTCACTTAATGGAATAATGAAAACCTGTATAAGTGGGCCAGTTTGTGTGCAAGTCCTTCTCAGGTCCACACCATCAGCAACATCATCATGCCTGAATTAATCTTCCTGTGCAATATCTTTTCATTTTAGCAAAAGAACAACAAACACAATTCTGATAAAGAATAATGAAAACCTGCAAGTATTTAAATACAAAGTTCTATTTAACTTACGGGTTATCTGAAATGGTTGGTGGACAAGCTTTAAACAAAGTAGAATTGTTTCATTTTTTAAAAAATGCAGTTTTCCTTACCACACTTTCCTATAGTTTTCTAAATACTGCTGTAAAAGTCACTTGATGTTTCTGCAGCTATAAATTATTGAGTATAACATTTTAAAAAGAAAGATTTATATAAACAGCAATAAGCAGCTACATCTAGGAAGCTTTAACTTATGCTCAAGGCAGCTACAATATCTCTGTGAGTGTTTAAATTTTTCTAACACTTAGAAAGGTTTTTTTTTTTTTAAAAAAGGGCCCTTGTCTAAAAGACACAGGGAAATGATGATAGTAGGAGATAATTAATCTGTGCATTTCTAAATAATATACTATAAACAGCAATCAGAGAAAAACCATGAGAAGTTATAAGGAAACAAGATAACTTGTTTTAACCCACCCACTTTATACTCTATATAAATGACCTTTGCGATCACCTTATAAGCAACCGCGTCCTCTTTGCGGATGCCGTAAAACTATTCAACACCACCGACAATGCTACTATCCTTCAAAGCAACCTTGATTATGTGTCAGAATGGTCAAACATCTGGCAACTCCAAATCTCAACCAACAAATGCTCTGTCCTACACATTGGTAAAAAAAATCAGTACACCAAATACAAACTAGGTGGATATGACCTCATTGATGATCCTCACTCTGTTAAGGACCTTGGAGTTCTCATATCAAATGACCGAAGCGCCAGAGCTCACTGTAACAGCATTGCCAAAAAGGCACTAAGAGTTGTAAAACTAATCTTACAAAGCTTCTCCTCTGGAAATATTGAATACAGCTCATCAGTCTGGAATCCACACTGCATATCGGACATTAATACAATCGAGCGAGTCCAGAAGTATTTCACAAAAAGTGTACTACACTCCTCTGCTCGCAGCAGAATACCTTATATCACCAGGCTTGAAATTTTGGGCTTGGACAACCTTGAACTACGCCGCCTACGGTTAGACTTAAGAGTAGCACACAAAAATTATCTGCTACAATGTCCTACCAGTCAATGACTACTTCAGCTTCAACCACAACAATACAAGAGCACACAACAGATACAAACTCAATGGAAACTGCTTCAAACTCAATTACAGAAAGTATGACTTCAGCAGCAGAGTGGTCAATGCCTGGAATGCACTACCTGACTCTGTTGTTACATCCTCTAACCCTCATTCCTTTAACGTCAAACTACCCACTATTGACCTCACCCCATTCCTAAGAGGTCTGTAAGGGGTGTGCATAAGTGCACCATTGTGCCTACCATCACTGAGAAGAAGTTAGGACTGTGAGATGGTGACTAATTATTAATGAAAGCTTGAACTGAAATTAAATGCCATATTTTTCTTATATGAGAATTGTTCCTTCCAATCCACTGATCATAGTACTTCACTTTTTATGCTCTTTCTTCAACTTTTTACTATCCTGTTTAAGGCACACGATGATCAGAACTGTTTATAGTATTGTTAAATGTGTGTTAGAAGTATGCAACTTGGCATGTTACATGTATGCAACCCCCACAATCTCTTGACACTGGGTATCCTCACTAAGGTGTTTGGAAGTCCATGGTTTGCACTTACAGTATAAGTAGTTTTATTTTCTACTCCTTTTCTAATGGTACTCAGTATGGAATTTATCATGTTCACTGTGGCCATACATTGAGTTAATGTTATTGTTGAATAATTAACAACTACAAGACAGCATTTTTGCTACAGTGCACCCAGAATTGAATTGCTGCTACATGTTTTGTTGGTAGTTGTCCTGAACAGTGATACAGAAACATCAACTGCTATAGGACTTAGCTGTTGGCATGTTGATGGATGTAGGCTAAACTATGTGACACCCATGTTATCTACACAGATTACCAGCAGCTGCTATCAGAATATTATATACAGTTTAGTTTCCCTTAATCTCTCAAAGAGATATACAGATGTTACATTGTCATGCCCACATGTTTTACATGACATCTGCCCTCTCCTCTTGGAGGGGAGTGAATTTCTGTATTTTTATACAAAGTATATATCCTGCATGGTATTTTCAGTATTTCCAGTATTTTTCTGGTAGTCAGTGTAACAGATTGCCAGTGTCTTCCTGTGCTCAGCTTAAAAATTATGTTCTGCGAAGCCTTAATTCTTTATTAATTTTACTTTTTTTAAAAAAAAGACAACAACACAGCTATAAATTATATACAACAAAGAGACGCACCAGTCTTGGCGTAAGCCAAGAGGGAAAGAAAGGAAAGTTTGAGAGAGGAAAGAGGGAAAGGGAAGAGAAGGGGGGAAAAGTGGGGAAAACAAAGGTAGGAAAGACAATTATAATAAAACCATATTTTGTGACTGTCAGTAAGGTCTTTTCTTCTTCAAAGCTATCGTCGGCCTTAGTCTTCTTAGCGGTGAACTATCTTTGATTAAGCCAAATATACAAAGGATTCCAATTGCTAGAATAAATTGAAGATTCTTTATTTTTTAATGCTTGGGTTAGATTGTCCATTTCTGCACATTGTAAAATTTTCTGAATGACCATAAGTTCAGTGGGGATGGAAGGTAGTTTCCAGCACTGG